ATCCCTTAGAGAGCTATCTATAAAGATTATAAATTATTTTAACTATATAATACTTGGTTCTCAGTTATTCAATTCGATGTACGGATATTGTGTAATATCCCTGGTTATTCAATTCGATTAACGGATATTGTGTAATATCCCTTAGAAAGCTATCTATAAAGATTATAAATTATTTTAACTATATAATACTTGGTTCTCAGTTATTCAATTCGATGTACGGATATTGTGTAATATCCCTGGTTATTCAATTCGATTTGTGTAATATCCAAGCTATCTATAAAGATTATAAATTATTTTAACTATATAATACTTGGTTCTCAGTTATTCAATTCGATGACGGATATTGTGTAATATTTAAGCTATCTATAAAGATTATAAATTATTTTAACTATATAATACTTGGTTCTCAGTTATTCAATTCGATGTACGGATATTGTGTAATATCCCTGGTTATTCAATTCGATTAACGGATATTGTGTAATATCCGTTAGAAAGCTATCTATAAAGATTATAAATTATTTTAACTATATAATACTTGGTTCTCATTTCTATCATTTTTTCTTTTTTCATTTGTTTTTTTTTATCATTTTTTTTCTTTTTTGTTTTATCAATTATTTAATATGTTATGAGGGCAAATGTGCTAGGTGTAAATGAGAGATCGGCTATAAAAAAATTAAATTGCTTCCAAAAAATTATTTAATTACATTATAATAGAATAGGAAGTTAGATTTGGTATTGTTGCAGCTTGAAAATTTAAAATAAAATGATTTATTATGAATAATTTATTTACCCTCAGTTGTCAGCAAACAGGCCTTGACCCTATCTGAGGGTGAATCTGCATGGTGTAAATGGGATCGGCTATAAAAAAATTAAATTGCTTCCAAAAAATTATATAATTACATTATAATAGAATAGGAAGTTAGATTTGGTATTGTTGCAGCTTGAAAATTTAAAATAAAATGATTTATTATGAATAATTTATTTACCCTCAGTTGTCAGCAAACAGGCCTTGACCCTATCTGAGGGCGAATCTGCATGGTGTAAATGGGATCGGCTATAAAAAAATTAAATTGCTTCCAAAAAATTATTTAATTACATTATAATAGAATAGGAAGTTAAATTTGGTATTGTTGCAGCTTGAAAATTTAAAATAAAATGATTTATTATGAATAATTTATTTACCCTCAGTTGTCAGCAAGCAGGCCTTGACCCTATCTGAGGGTGAATCTGCATGGTGTAAATGGGATCGGCTATAAAAAAATTAAATTGCTTCCAAAAAATTATTTAATTACATTATAATAGAATAGGAAGTTAGATTTGGTATTGTTGCAGCTTGAAAATTTAAAATAAAATGATTTATTATGAATAATTTATTTACCCTCAGTTGTCAGCAAACAGGCCTTGACCCTATCTGAGGGCGAATCTGCATGGTGTAAATGGGATCGGCTATAAAAAAATTAAATTGCTTCCAAAAAATTATTTAATTACATTATAATAGAATAGGAAGTTAAATTTGGTATTGTTGCAGCTTGAAAATTTAAAATAAAATGATTTATTATGAATAATTTATTTACCCTCAGTTGTCAGCAAGCAGGCCTTGACCCTATTTGAGGGCGAATCTGCATGGTGTAAATGGGATCGGCTATAAAAAAATTAAATTGCTTCCAAAAAATTATTTAATTACATTATAATAGAATAGGAAGTTAGATTTGGTATTGTTGCAGCTTGAAAATTTAAAATAAAATGATTTATTATGAATAATTTATTTACCCTCAGTTGTCAGCAAACAGGCCTTGACCCTATCTGAGGGCGAATCTGCATGGTGTAAATGGGATCGGCTATAAAAAAATTAAATTGCTTCCAAAAAATTATTTAATTACATTATAATAGAATAGGAAGTTAAATTTGGTATTGTTGCAGCTTGAAAATTTAAAATAAAATGATTTATTATGAATAATTTATTTACCCTCAGTTGTCAGCAAGCAGGCCTTGACCCTATCTGAGGGTGAATCTGCATGGTGTAAATGGGATCGGCTATAAAAAAATTAAATTGCTTCCAAAAAATTATTTAATTACATTATAATAGAATAGGAAGTTAGATTTGGTATTGTTGCAGCTTGAAAATTTAAAATAAAATGATTTATTATGAATAATTTATTTACCCTCAGTTGTCAGCAAACAGGCCTTGACCCTATCTGAGGGCGAATCTGCATGGTGTAAATGGGATCGGCTATAAAAAAATTAAATTGCTTCCAAAAAATTATTTAATTACATTATAATAGAATAGGAAGTTAAATTTGGTATTGTTGCAGCTTGAAAATTTAAAATAAAATGATTTATTATGAATAATTTATTTACCCTCAGTTGTCAGCAAGCAGGCCTTGACCCTATTTGAGGGCGAATCTGCATGGTGTAAATGGGATCGGCTATAAAAAAATTAAATTGCTTCCAAAAAATTATTTAATTACATTATAATAGAATAGGAAGTTAGATTTGGTATTGTTGCAGCTTGAAAATTTAAAATAAAATGATTTATTATGAATAATTTATTTACCCTCAGTTGTCAGCAAACAGGCCTTGACCCTATCTGAGGGCGAATCTGCAAGGTGTGAATGATGTTTTGGCGATTTTAAATTTGGCGATTTAGTGGTTTTATTTTCGTATTTTTTATAATTTTTTTATCTTTTTTGTTTATTTTTTTTTTTGCTTTTTTTAAACTTTTTTTTTGCTTTTTTTTTTTGCTTTTTTTTTGCTTTTATTTTTGCTTTTTTTTTTGCTTTTTTGTAAACAGTGTTCAGTTCAGAGGTGTTAAGGATTAAAAAAATTTATACTATATATATATAATTTATGTGTGAATTATTGTTTTAAAATGTTGCATAATTATCGTTATAATAGACCGCTTATTGAGATAAAAATGAACTAAGTGCTAAGTCAGATTTAGTTCGAAACTGATGTGTTAAACAAATCAAACCATGAAATATTGAATTCGAAACCAGTAATCTATATTCCTTAGAAGTCATATGAATACGCAGGCAAAACTATCATTAAATCGGATTACAATTATACCAATTATTATATCTAAAATATACACAAACTATATTTACCCATTATAATCAATTTTTCCTATGATAAATTATTTATATATTATTGGTTACAAAAACAGATGATAACTTTAAATAAATATCGCTCATACAAATAGATTTCATATACCTTAGTAAAAATAAATAGACCATATTATTAAACATCTAGAAATATTTTCGTATACATATATATAATAGATTTAAAATAAAAATCAGGGCATGTGCCATAGTGCAAGTATTATCAAAAGCCATGATAATAACCATACTTTCAAAAAGCTGCATGAAAGGGTACATTTTGGAGGTAAATTACAAAAAATTGAACTGATGATCCCTTAACTTTATTGGAGATTGTCTCTAGACCTCCAGAAAATTTTATTGATCTAAGGTCATATAGTGTATATTTATAAAATATAATATTATGACAACATACTCCTAGGATTTTTATTAGATAAAAATCTCGATGTATCAAATTAATAAATATATTACCCTGTTTATATAAAAAGTAATATTTAATTAGATAATTTTACGTTGCTAAACTTAAGAATGTTAATAGAATCTTTCCTTATTGAATAGTGAATTTTGTTATATTAAGATTTGTCCTGACTGAATGCTAATAAATATTTTAAAAATGTAATCTCTGGAGACTTTAATATATTAGATGAACCTGATGATGAAAGAATAATTGATTAAAAGATATATCTAGCAATCTTCATTGCTGAATAGTAAGTATTAAAAATAAAGCTATATTTAAATGTATCATATGAAAAGAAGAAATATATTTCTATAACCTCGTATTTTATGTAATTTTTTAAAGATCTGTCCTTGATCCAGATAATGCAATCACATTATTATTAAGAACAAACTACAGCCATCAAATGCTGGAAGTTATTAAATTAATTTTAAAATTAGATGATTTAAATTCGTAATTGTTGCTTATGCATGACAATTGATAAAATTAACCGTTAGATTAAATAATAGGGATTTTTACTGTCGCTGAGACATCTAGCATCTCTTATATAATTAAGGAGATAGAAAAAATATGTACCACAAGAAATAGAAATATTACAAATTTTTAAATATAGCAATGAAATTTTATTCAGGATAAAGGTGTCGATGAATTTGTATTAATAAAAAATGGGAAGGGTTGGCAGATAATTAATCCATAAAAAAACCTAAGTGCACATTGCTCTTAAATATTAAGTTTAATTAAAGTTACCAAGATTAAATTAATTTGTTGAAAATAAAAATCTTACCACAAATCATAGATATAATCATCAATACATGTCCTATTAATAGTTAATAACAAGCAGAAGCAATTGCCTGCTGTAGCAAATCATATAAAATGTTTTTTGATAATTTAGGAAATAATATATTCAAAGATAGAATATTATTTCGCAAAATTGTGATTTAATACTAAAATTGTTTGATAAACCTAAGGAGTAATGATTTATTTATATTGTCTTATGAATCAACAATATTATAGAATTATATTATAAACATACTTATACTGTACCAATTTTTTAAATGTAACGACTGGAGAATTTCTTATAAATCATATTCTTACCAATGTGATGTTTATAAAGATTGATTATTTAATTCAAGATGCATAATCTCAGATAACATTGTGTAAATTACTTAAAATGCTGTATCCCATATCCCTAATACATAAGTTATAAATAAAAATAGTAGGTGTGGTGGAAGTTCAAAATTAAATAAATTAATGGGATATCTAGTTTAATTTTTTATATCTCCTGCTTCATCACAAATAGATCATTAAATATGTTATTCCAAAAGGTTAAATTTAACATGATAAATATATTAGTAATGAATGCCAACAATGGATGATTGTTATGAATGATTCATATGGTATATAAAATAGCATGACATATAACATCATCTTGGCAATCATTATTTTTATATATAATAGATTTTGAGAGATCATTATATATTTCCCATGTTCCATCTAACCGCTTGGAATAACATATATAATGACCAATTCCTGAAGAAACAGCAGGAGGTATAAATACTATAAGAGCTCTTAAAAAATATAATGTATCACCTAAATTTATAAATCTAGGGAAATTATTTAATTTAGAACTTTGACAGCCTGTAGATAACTTGTTCATGAAATTGGTACTTATGGACTAAAGATAAAGGGTCCGGCATTTTACAGGATTTACAGTATGTTAAAAGAGGTAAAGCATCTTGGATTGCAATATCCAAACTTTCAAAACCTGTATTATTTATTATATTTAAATTTATTGGTAAACATATTATTTCTAAGAAATTTTCCGGTCGTAAACATTCTTTATTATTACATTTAAAAATATCGGTTACACTATATATATCTTTATAGCATTTTTCTATAATATAATATATTGTTGATTCGCAAGACAATCTATAGAAACCATTACTAATCTTAGTTTTATCGAATAATTTTAATAATAAATCACACCTTATCTTATAAGTATTATTATTGGCCCCATGCGAAACAAAATATTCTATAAACTCTTTAAATATACTATTTTCTAAATTGTCAAAAAAAGCTTTATATAATTTGCTATCGCAGTAGGCTACTGCTACTGCTTGTGATAAACTATCAATAGGGCATGTATTACTGATTATATATCTATTATATCCAAGTTTTAAAGGTCTCTTTATTGTGGTAAGATTCCCATTTTTCAACATGCCTAATTTAATCTTGGTCCCTTCAATTACATGTAATATTTCAGGGCAATGTGCTCCATAATATGAAGTACGTTTCTTTTATGGATGGTTGATCTACTAAACCTTTCCAATTTTCAATTAATTGATATTCATCATCAGAGACTTCTCCCTCATTTAAACTACTAAATTTAGAAATTTGTGAATTGTCTGTTTCTTGTGGTATAATAATTTGTACAGTATCCTTTTCCTTAATTATATTAGAGATTCGGGACGCTTCAGCTATAGTAAGCAATCCTCTTATCTCATCAAAATGTTTACAGAAAAATTTATCAATAGTAATAGGTAACATTACGGATTTAAATGTTCTATTTTTCAAATTATTAAAATAACTTTCAACATTTGATGTAGAAGATGTAACTTGTCCATAATTATAATGTGGTTGCATAATACTAGACCATAAAGGATAGGTCTTTAAAAAATTACATAAATTTATAGTTATTTCTGGGTTATAGAAATAATTTTCTTCTTATGATATGATACATTTAGATATGGCTTTATTTTTAATACTTTCTATCCAGTAATTTATATTACTAGATACATTTAAGTCAATGGATATTTCATCCTCGAGTTCATCTAATATATTAATGTCTATATCTTCTATTCCAGAGATTATATTTTTTAGATATTTTTTAGCATTCAGCGTAATGTCAGGACAAGTTTCGATCCCACAAAATTCACTATTACATACAATGAGGATGGATTCTATTAATATTTCCGCCTCTTTAAAGGAAGCGGATTTTATTAGCATTGCAACGGAACGTATATAAAATTCTCTAAATAAACGAGGTTTTTTATATAAACTAGGCCATCTACTTATTAGTTTGATACAATGAGCATAATCTATTCTAATAAATATCCTAGGGGTCAGCAATTTTTGACCTAATATTATATTAAATGAATATTCAATATATGACTTAAGATCAATAAAATTTGCTAGCGATCTGGCAACAGCCCCCAATAAAGCTAATGAATGATCAGTTACAACAATTTTAGGTATTTTAGCACCTCTATGCACCCATACATTCAGCCAGTGTGAAATGTGGTTAATATCATGGGCTTCTGATAACATCTGAACTACAGGTATTTGCCCAGATTTTACTTTTAAATCGATTACTCCTATGTATAGAAAAATATGCCCAGATGTTTGATCATAAGGTCGACTTAATTTTTTTTACTAAGGTCCCTGTGGCATCTATTTGTAGTATGGATACGTTAGTATCTTGGCAATATTTATTAAAAGTTATCATTTGTTCTGGTAACCAGTAGTGCATAAAAAATTTGTCACAGGATATATTGATTATACTGGGTAAATATGGTTGAGTATATTTTAGATATAATAACTGATTGATTACGCTATCCGATTTAATGTTATATTTATTAGAAATGGATTGTTTGCATTTACGTAGGACATCCAAGGAATATAAAGTTCTAGGTTCCAATTCACCATATTCCATGGTTTCATTTGCTTTTTTCAAGCGCCAGTTTATGGCTAAATCTTTTTGTAATTCATTAGCAACCTCTTCCCTTTTTATCCCACTTAATGGTCTTTTATAAATATTATTATGCAATTCTGTTTTATAATTATATATTTCACATATAAATTTTATATATATATTATTTAAAGTATTTAATTTTTTAATTAATAACACAGCTGAACATTGTTTACAAAAAGCCTTAATTTTTATTAAATATATTGAATTTAGAGATACATAATTATTAGAAAATACCCATAAACAGGGTATTTTCAATTGACTAGAAATTATTTTTTCAAGCACATGGGTCCAACCCATTTTTAACCGATTTGGGTTATCCGCATTCGGATATATTTGATTCCATTCTTCCCCTGTCATAGAAATTTCAAATATATCCTTTTTTACTTTGACATTATCTTCGCCGTCGTCACTTGAGTCTGACGACATAATCTCGGGGAATTTTTCCTAAGGATAATGTAAAAATATTTTTTAAAATCATATTAAAATAGTAAATATTTCATATATCAATGTTTTTGTGTTCCTGTATTATAATAAAGTCGTGATATATTACATAAAATATAAATAATGTAAATATATATAGTAATTACACTAATACATCGGGACGAACCCCAGCCTTAAATTTTTTAAGCACCAGACTTGGGCACAAATACAAATATTTCTATGAATACAAAGGTAAACGACGTACCTATTGTCAATATATATATTTTTTTGTTTCTAAATTTCTTTTTCGTTATTAAAGTTGTACATTATATAAATTTATTTTTGTTAGTTATTTACTATTAGTAATATACATTAGGTAATTATAGCGCAACCAGAGGTTGCGTAAAATAATTCCCCCCAAAAAAATCACAGGAAAATAATTCTTAAAAAATTATTCCCCGGAAAAAATTCCCTTAGTTTTTGTTCCTTATAAAATATTAAATTATTTTTAGAAAATTAACAAAGTTGGAAAAAAAATCCCTAAATAAAATATGTTAAATTTTCGAGAAAATCAACGAAATTAAATCCTATCATCTACTATTAGATATTATTATTGAAAATCAAATTTTAATTTTAAAAAAATATTATTATAAAAAAATATTTATTTTTACACAAATTATTAATCATTTTCCATGAAGTTTTTAAAAATATATTAAAAATTTAAATCATTGTCTTCAAAAATATATTAATTGAAATATATATTAAAACTAGATTATGGAAATAATCTCCCTATTTCTAGGAAAAAATTTGTTTTCACCTTTTTTTTTCAATTTTAAATTGCACGCATAATTTACATCTATTACTATAAAAAGCTATCATGTTTTCTTTCCGAGATGTCTCATATTTTAAACAGCCCTATATCGCTTAGAATTAAAACATAAATAATGCTAAAAAAAATCCTCAAACGTGTCGAGAATAAATACTTAACTTTCAGAAAATACTGATTATAATTTTTTAGAAATATTTTCGTTATTAAGCGGCAGGGTTATTTTTGATAATTTTAAAAAAAAATATTCGAGGATCTTTTTCCCGGTATAATTTTCCGGAAATTGATTTTCCTCTATATTTAATTTAAAATCTAAAAAATAGGGAATTTATTTCCGGGGAAAAATTTTCTATGGGAATTTTTTCCTAAGATATTTTTTTCGGGGAATTATTTTCCAGGGGATATTTTTTTGGGGGGGATTTTGTTCCTGGGCAATTATTTTCGGGAATTTTTTTTTCCGGGGATTTATTTTCCGCTTACCAATGTAAATTATATCACTAAATTTGAATGTCTAAACATGTCTGGTTTTTAAATAAAAATCGCTGAACTGACAAGCCGTTTGCGCCGACTCTCCATGATCTCTATGTATCATATTTTATTATATTTTAAGAAGATATTAATTGTATTATTAACTAGGGACTATCAGGCATATTCGGATCAATAATATTTACCTTATACAAATATGAAATATTTTAATATATTTATAAAATAAAATAAAAAAGTATTTATTCCTCATCTTTATTAAAAATATCCATGCGGCCAAAATTTATTAGTCCCGACCATGTTCCCACATGATTATTTTTTTTAAAAATTGCAAACTTATTGGTTAGGTTAGATTATTGCAAATATCTATTTTCTATATTTGTTACCAAGATTTACATTACCAGGGGTGGGGAGGGTGTTATTCTTTACGTAGCAAAAAAATATATTTTTTTAAAAAACAACTTTTTTAAAATTTATATAATTGAAACAAGAAATAATTAAATATATTATGATTTATAAGCTAAAATGATAGATTTCTAGGGCATCTTCATTAAATGCAGTGGGGGCAGTTAAAATCATTACATAAATTAAAATAAGTGAAATCACAAAATTAACCTTATTTAACTTTCACCAGAAGATATATATATATAAATAATGATATATTTACTTCTTTCTGTATTTCCAAAATATCTAGACAATTATTTCGATTTTGTGAGGCATAATTATAGAGTAGTTTTGGGCTCATCATAGCTAATAACTCCTTGCTTATTATCTTCCAGATTGTTGCTGACGAGTGGTTTAGATTTTGTTGAATCTCAAATTTGTATTTAGAAAAGATAGATTTTAGAATTGGAAGTGGCACCGCTGGCTGTCTCCCTGGCGATGCCATTATAATCTAGAAGATATATTGATAAATATTCATAAAGATAAGTCCTTTTCAAAAACGAATTCGAATCGAATGTGAAAGCTATTTGAATAGGTACAAATAATAAAATCTACCATTTGTATTCGATTCGACTTATTCGAATAACTGAAATGAATTTTCTTAATAAAATAAATTTTTTTTTATTACAATTTGATTGCCAGGTTTGCATCCCTGGTTTTCACAGGGCGGGCCGTATAATTATTTTTTAAATATATCAGGGCAGAGTCGGCCCTAACAAAAAAAATTTCGATACCCGACCGGGGCCAAATATTTTAAAACGCCATTATTGTCTATAAAAGTTAAGAATAAAAAATATATATAAATTTCGTATCATAAAACAATGTATTATATTCATTCACTTATTATTTTTCCCATTTCCAATTTTTTGATCCTCAGAAATTATTTATATTTTAAAAAATATGGGGAAATATTTTATAAAATACCATATTATTAGTGTTGTTAATGGGCTTGATTTGAGCCGATTTTAAAATAAAAAAGGCTAACTAATATTTTAGCCAAAATAAATTGACTGCGCCTCGAGATTTGTCTAATAAATGTCCAAACCTTTGTACCATGTATGAACAAATTTTCAGGCTTGCTAAGATTTTTTCGGAACATATTGAGTTAGCCGTTTTAAAAAATGGGCACAAATAGAATCGTTTAACAATATTATATATTTTTTTTTAATTTCTATAAATTTGAAAATTATAAGATTTTTAGCCTAGTGTTGTTAATCGAAAGAGTCTTGAGCCAAATTTTGGGTCGAAAAAATTGACCAAATTGATTTGAGTTATGAACTCGAGTCGTGAACTCAAGTCTATATCCTTAAATCGACTAGAAACTTGAGTCGTAGACTAGAGAATGAGAATTTTCATAATTATAACTATTTCTCATTTCTATTATGAATTTCTTCAAAGTAATAATAAAGATCGTTGTTTTTTTATCTTATAGCATCACACAGCATATTTTTATTTTTTATATTAATGTGGTGCAGATATGCCCCAGGCTAGATTTCCATATCTACTGTTATTTTTTTGACGGATTTTATTCATAATATAATATTTGGACTTTACGCTATATAATTTAAAAAATTGAGCATTTTTATCAGAACTAAAATCTTGGCCATTATGGATTAAATGGCCATACTGGAGCTAATGGGAGGGAGTCTGAATTTAGTTTTTGCATGAATAATTGTAAATGTAAGAGGAATTTGGTGACGTAATGGAAATGGTTGTTTAATATATTTTCTTTAAGAAAGGTATAAATCGGGCCTAATTTTTCAAGCCCGGCTGGGCCCCAAATTTTTTTAAAAAAGTTTTGCTGACCCGGCCTGAATTTATTTAAATATAGAAATTTTTTTATAATTACTCAAAATAAAAGATATTGCTATATAAGTATAATCAAATATTTTTATTTTAAATAAAAAATATAACGTAAAATTCAAATATTTAAAAAAATTTCCAAGACCAGGTACCAGCTAAATTTTTTTAAAGAAAATATTAAATCCGATCCAGCCCCCATATATTTTTTAAAAAATAAACCAAGGTACGGGCCGGACTGATCTCTAGTCTAAGTACGAAAAAAAAAATTTTTTCTTGATATTTTGATTAGATGCTTTAAAAATTTTAGTTATTCTTAATGTGTTAATTAAATATATTTTTTTTAAGAAATCACTAGATTTATTAATCACATGTGGGAGCTGGTTAATTTTTTTTATAATTAAAAACAATATTTGTAAATTTTTATAGGGTGTTTGTAAAAATTTTTGATATTTTTAAACTTTAATTAACACGAACGTCAAAGAAGTTAAGAATGAAAATAGTTTTTTTATGTTATGAACACATGTATATTTATATCATTTTTTGAGTTTGTAAAAAAACATTTCGATAAAAATTTATCTTTGTTTTGCTTATAACTAACCGTTAAACAAGATTAGCTAATATGCCTGCTTATTGAATGATAATAGAGCGGGGATGGTTGGGACACTTTTAAACCTTAATAATTTTAATATTAATAGACTTATCGTAATAATTAAAACATCTTCTGAATCCCAGAAGTATTGGCTATTTGAAATAATTAATATATATTTTATAAAGATTATATTTTTTTAGAAAATTTAATTTTTTGCCCCAACTATGACAGACTCTGTGTACGTTGGGACACACATATGTGATAGTTGGGACACTCGTGAAATAGAGGTCTAAATAAATTTAAAAATTTAAAATCAATAATCCAGTAAGACTAGATATGACACATATGATTTTATTGATAGTGTAATTCATAATCAATAACTATAAAAAAAATTTTAGCAAAATTTAGCAAATTTATTTTGAGAAAAAAAAATTGTAAAAAAAAATTTCATTTAATCATAAACATAGTGAAAGATAAGTATTTAATTATTCATTATTCAAAATACTAAATTAATAATAAAATTATAAAATGAGCTAAAATGGCGTGTCCCAACTTACTTTGACCAACTATGACCGAGCCCACTAACTTTATAAATATCAACCTTGATTCCAAAAGTTTGCCAGATTGGGAAATAGGTTTAAACTTTCCTAAAATCTATTTATTATGATTTTTGAAACGGTAAAGGCAAATATTTTATATTAATTTTGGTATGCCAAAACTTCTTCTGTAAAAATTAAAATACTAAATATTTTTCAAATTTTTTTTAGCTAATCATGTATGACGTAATTATCTATGTTAAGCTCAAATTTCCAGTCTTATAAATAATAGCTCAAATTATAATCAGAGTGTCCTAACGTTCCCCTGTACTAAATGTACCCATATAATTTAAAAAATAAAATTTAAAAATCTTACCAAATTTAATTACGATGGAATATTTATTTATGATTTTTAAAAGAATTTTAGTTAATGAAAAAGATTGATTTATTAACACATCTGGTTAATATTTAAAATTAATTAAACATTATAATTAATAAAAAAATAATTTCTAGCATATTTATTAATTATAGAAAAAAATGATATTACAGTGAAAGAGGGGATATTTTTTACCAGATGTTAAAACAAAATAAAATGATACTATTATATTTTTATTTTAATCATACTTAAACATTAATCTATGTTAAAAAAATATTAAACAACTTTTTTAAATGTCACACTTACATAAAAAAAAATTTTTATAAAAAAATATAAAAAGTTTTGTCATCACATATTTTCTTTTACTTAGTTAACGATATTTTATGTAGAATAATTTTAAATATAATGATAAATTATTCATTTAAGTTGTAAGATCTTAGTCAGAATCTTTTATTTCTTAAAATAGTTTTTTTCTCTCACTTTATTTTATCATATTTGAGACATAACTTTAATTTAATATTTTATTCAATTCGTATATGTAATACATATAATTATATATAATAAGAAATATATTCGTAATTACACTAATACATGAATATTAATTAATAAAATATGAAATATTTAATGATAGTTCATAGTCATAAATTGCTTGCTTAAGTAGTACCTATAAATATTAAAAAATGTTAATCGTAATTTATTATATAATTAGATTACTTTAGTCAAGAGGTAGTCCACGATAGCCCAGCTCCAAATAATGTTGCATATGATTATAGAAATTTGTAAAATCATATGGAATAAATTGATTCATTATTTGATTAATATTATTTATTATATGTTCCCTTGTACTTGGTCTGGGAATTAATGACCTGTACTTGTTTTTGAAAACCCCGAAAAAATTTTCAATTGGGTTTAATTGTGGTGAGTATGGGGGAAGATATTCAATTCTCTCTTTATAGTCATCAATTAGATGACTTTTATGTATTGACGCATTGTCCATAACTAATATGGCATCTGGTGGTAATATACTAATAATATCCATTAATGAATTTCGGAATAACATACCATTATATGATCCTTCGATGATTTTATAATGTATAACTCCACAAATTCCTATAGTGCAAAGTACACTTACATTTTTCCCTTTTGAGGGTGGCACCTTTATTGATGGTCTAACGTTGAGTGGTGCCCAAGCATAGACAGGTACAACATGAAAATTGATGCCTGTTTCGTCGAGAAAATAGAGTCTTTCTCTGGAGATGTTCAGCAATTTGCGGCAATACACCTGTCGAATATTGATAGCTCCTGGTGTATTCCTGCGATCTGGTTCATTCCCAGCTCTTTTTTTGGACCATCGGATGTTTTTAATATATTTCCTTATAGTTCCAATATTTTTTGGAGAACCAGAGGGCAAATTCTCAATTATATCCTTCACCGTGAAGGTATTATTGTCGATTAGCAAATCCATAATTTGCCTTTCAATATTTGCTGTGTCTTTAATTTTTCTCCCCCTTTGTTTAAGCGAGAATTCCTTTAGGGGCTCACCAATAATTTCTGGAAATGTATCCCGCTTTATTTTATGTATTGATGCCTTCGACATATTAACAAATTTAGCAATGTCCTTAACCTTCATCTGTTCTTCCTCTGGCATTGCTAATATTTTCATTACCATTTCAATTTTATCTTTGTTCCAACAATTGTATGTTCTTTTGGGTTTAGGAATGGATGATATTTGAGAATGATTTATATTTTCATTAATAGTTGCTAAAGAATTATTATTTGCAGAAATATTAGACTGTGATTGATAATTTTCCATATCATTCCCATCTGAGATTGGCAAAGAATAATTTACAGAAGTACTTGAGAGTAAAGGAGATGTATTATAAAGAATGTGGTCTATATTAAACATTATAAGATTGAAAAATTAATTAATATTAAATTAAATATACAAAAATATTAAATTACGTAAATGATATGTGAAAAAATATGTTTTTTTTAAAAAGTTTTTTTTTTTAAAAAAGTTGTTTAAAATTTTTTTAACATAGATTAATGTTTAAGTATGATTAAAATAAAAATATAATAGTATCCTTTTATTTTGTTTTAACATCTGGTGAAAAATATCCCCCTCTTCACTGTAAACACAATAACAGTAATTAATTAGAACACAACGCCCCCACGCCAGGGTTGGGCAAATTTTCAGAAAATTGTATTCGGATACAGATACAGATACTTAATAAAATTTTGTATTTAAGATACAAGATACTAGATACTTTTGAAAAATTTCAATAAGATATAAGATAAAAGCTTTATTTTCTTATCTATAATATAAATTTATAAAAAAAATTTAAAATAAATTGTAGAAAATAACAAATTTATCATAAAAGATAATGCGATATTCCATTTAATAATTATATAATTAGTAAATAATAATAAATCAGCATCATAAATCAGCATTATTTTTTAATATTATTAATTTTTCGTTCAATCTTTGACGATTTGATTAACCATATTAGCAAAGCTAAATAATCTTTCAACGGGAGCTGAGGAGAGTAGTATTGTGTTATATTTAATAAATATTTCATATTTATAACTATTTAACATATTTATACTCCGCCTGTCATCTTTCATATAATTTAGGACCTCTATTTCAATATCATTTATTGAATTATTAGAATTGGATGTGGTACTTTTAAGGCAAATCATCATCTTCATCAATTGAAGATTTTGTTGAAGTATTAATTTCAATATTATTTTTAAAAACAATTAAAACTTCATGTAATAACAAATCCTGAAGGTATTTTTTTTCTTTTTCACCATCAATCCAACGATTTTTAAAATAGGGATGAGAAATAGTTGCCAAAAATGCACTTTTAAAATTGTTATCAAAATCATATATATTTTTAAATCTTTTATTTAAATAATTTTCTATGGCAACAGCTAATGGTTTGCAAAATTGTAGATTGGTTTGAATTAAATTTGTAATTTTTTTTAACGACATTTAAAATTGGAGCTGATTCTCCATAATAGCAGTTGATTTCACTCTGTATTTTGTCAATCGCTATAGCCAATGGGGCCATTATATTGCAATATTCTTCTAAATATTGAATTTCAATATCTCTTAATTTAGGAAATTCTAATTTTTGACATAATTTAGGAAGTTCGCTTTTAAATTTTAATAAACTATGAAGACTATCATACAAACTATTCCATCTAGTGCAACAAGGCGTAACTTATTGTTTTCCTAAAACTGCTTTGATAAGTTCTGCAGTTTTAGGCCTATTATTTGCATTCCAGCTTAGTACATTTAGCTATTGCAGGATGATGAATTTTAGAAATGTTAGTATAATAACTCTCTCGACATCTGTTGTGGCAATTAGACTTATCGTATGGCACAAACAACGAATGTGTTGAGGCAATGTTATTGAGGCTTCTTTAGACCCTTAAATAAACAAATAATAATTTTATTTGAATAAAAATTTTACTAAATTTACAATATATAATAAATTTTAAAGAAGTATTAAATAATATTTTCAATGATTTCGAATTCTATACATTCATCATCATTGTTGTCAAGGTCATTCTCTACAGCTTCCATAGAATATCCAAACTCCTTGAAAGCTTTCTTAAAGTTAGAACCGTTATCTGTAACAGTTGCTAAATCTTTTTCGCAATACCAAAGTCACGATGAATTTCTTTATTATGATCATCTTGAAGTACTTAAAAAATTTGCCATTAAGTATGCTTAGTTTAAATTTATTGTTATAATTTTCGGTTGAAGAATCATCTGAAGACGAAGATAAACATATTATTCTATTTTCGCACAAATTAAAGCCTAAATAATTGCCAAATTTCAGATCGTGATCTTTTATATTTTCGGTTTTGGCTAAGTGCCAGCACTTTCTTAATTTGCTCATAACTCAGTAACGGTTCATTCTGCTGCTTTCCGGATAGAAGATCAATTAGGATCAATTAACGGGCTATTCAATGGTATAAGTTTCGGTAATTGATCCTCAAATCGTTCTTACAGCTTAAATATTTCCGCCAATTTAACGTTTTTAAAACGGTTATAACTCGGTATTGGTTAGTGATATCGACATCTGGTTTGGTGATTGTTAATGTACGCATTGAATACTACATAATTGCCAAGTTTCAAAACATGATCTTTTTTATTTTCGGTTTTGGCAAAGTGCCAATACTTTTTTGTTTTGCTTATAACTCACGAACGGTTCATTCTGTTGATATGCGGTTTAAAGATTCTGGAGGATCAATTAACGCACCACACTTTGGCATATATTTTGGTAATTGATCCTCACTTTTTAAAAAAATTCTTACAACTTCACGCTTTAAAAACAGGTCATAACTCGGTTGCGGTTAGTGATATCGATATCCGGTTTGGAAATTATTCACGCACAAATTAAAGCCTAAATAATTGCCAAATTTTAGATCGTGATCTTTTATATTTTCGGTTTTGGCTAAGTGCCAGCACTTTCTTAATTTGCTCATAACTCAGTAACGGTTCATTCTGCTGCTTTTCGGATAGAAGATCAATTAGGATCAATTAACGGGCTATACAATGATATAAGTTTCGGTAATTGATCCTCAAATCATTCTTAGAGCTGCAAATCTTCGCACTTTCATTATTTTGCTTATAACTCAATAGCCTTTAATTTTTTTTGACATTCCGTTTAAAGAATATGGAGGATCAATTAAGGTACTAAATATTGGCTATAACTAAAAAAATGATTGCTTAAATTTTTAATTTTGGCAAGGTGCCAAAACCTTTTTATTTTGCTTATAACTCACGAGCGGTTCATTCTGTTGATATGCGGTTTAAAGATTCTGGAGGATCAATTAACGCACCACACTTTGGCATATATTTTGGTAATTGATCCTCACTTTTTAAAAAAATTCTTACAACTTCACGCTATAAAAACAGGTCATAACTCAATTGCGGTTAGTGATATCGATATCCGGTTTGGATATTATTAACGCACAAATTAAAGCTTAAATAATTGCCAAGTTTCAGATCGTAATCTTTTATATTTTCGGTTTTGGCAAAGTGCAAACACTTTCTTATTTTGCTCATAACTCAGTAACGGTTCATTCTGCTGCTTTCCGTATAGAAGATCAATTAGGATCAATTAACGGGCTATACAATGATATAAGTTTCGGTAATTGATCCTCAAATCATTCTTAGAGCTGCAAATCTTCGCACTTTCATTATTTTGCTTATAACTCAAAAACCTTTAATTCTGCTGATGTCTGGTTTGAAGATCAATTAGGATCAATTAAGACTCTAAATAATGGCATAGGTTTTGTTAATTGATCCTTACATCGTTCTTACAACTTCACGGACCTGATATTTTATTATATGAAAAAAAAATTATATTGACAATAGTGATCTGCATCGAGCCTAATTTTTCAAACCCAGCCAGACATTTTTTTTAAAAAAGTTTTGCCGACCCGGCCCTAAAATTTTTTTGAAAAAGTTTTGCAGGTCCGGTTCGAATTCAAAATTTTTTTAAAAAAAATATACCAACCCGACTTGAATTTATTTAGATATAAAAATTAATTTTTATAATTACTCAAAATAAAAGACATGTTATGTCGCTTAGTTTCAATAAATAAAATCAATTATTTTTATTTTACATAAAAAATTAAATATAAAATTGATAAATTTAGATTTAAAAAAATTACCAAGGTCCGACCCGACCCGGCCTGAATTTTTTTCAAATATTAAGCCTGGCCCAAACCAGATTATTTTAAATAAAATTAGGCCCGAGCTTACTTTCAAATTCAAATGTTTTGTTATGTAATTAAAGTGTGCTCTCCTCTATTAACCTCATCTACTCTTCTGTTGTATTTAATCTTGACGTGGATGCTACCTATTTCAAACATTGCATTTAAAATTTAATTTTCTTTTGGGAAAACGGGAAAATCATATTTTTATTCAACTAGATATTATATTCTTCCATGCAAATCAAATCTAAGAAATATTTTAAGCTTCTCCCAAATATAACATCCATAACAGTTATCTGTACTTTGGTATTAAAAATGTTAAAATTTTATGTAGCATATATTTTTCAATGTTTACCTAATAAATTTTAAACAAATAAAAGTAAAAAATTTTTAACCGTCTATTCACAATTTTTAATATTATTTAGCTAGCTCGCCCAATAAGATAAACGGGCGTAGACTAAGTCAGCTCGTTTCAATAAAAAATATGACAATTGTCACTTTTCTATGGTACTTAATTGAAATTTTAAACATGTTTACAATAAATGTTTGCCTATTTGCTTTGAAAAAATTCAAAAATAACGATTATGACAATTGTCACTTTTCTGTGGTCACTGAAATTTTAATTTAACATATTTACAATATATATTTTTACCTATCTACTTTAAAAAGATTCACAAAAACGATTATGACAAATGTCACTTTTCTATGGTACATCTTTACTGAAATATTAATTAACATGTTTACAATAAATATTTTTACCAATTTGTTTTAAAATAATTAACGATGACAATTATCACTATTCTATGGTACATTTTCACTGTAACTTTAATATAACATGTTTACGATATATATTTTTACCTATTTACTTTAAAAAAATTCAAAATAGTTCACAAAAACGATTATGACAAATATCACTTTTCTATGGTATATCTTCACTGAAATATTAATTAACATGTTTACAATAAATATTTTTACCAATTTGTTTTAAAAAAATTCAATAACGATGACAATTATCACTTTTCTATGGTAAATTTTCACTGAAATTTTAATTTATCATCTCTACAAAATGTATTTTTATTTGTTTTAAAAAAATTCAAATAAAGATTATGAAAATTATCATTCTATGGTACATCTTCACTGAAATTTTATTTAAACATCTTTACAATATATATTTTTACCTATTTACTTTAAATAAATTCAAAAATAACGATTATGGCCATTGTCACTTTTCTATGGTACATCTTCAATGAAATTTTATTTTAACAACAAAACATATTTTTACCTATTTAATTTAAAATAACTCGAAAAACTTCAAAAACAACGATTATGGCAATTGTCACTTTTCTATGATACAACCTAATTTGAATATTAATTTAACTTCATTTGATCCAAAAAAATTAAGAAAAACAAAAAATTATTAAAAATAACAAATATGAGATTTGTGATTTTCTGGTTTATCTTCTCGATATCTCAAGCACTCGGAAGAACTAGACTAACCCAGACTATACAGTGGTTAGGTTGAGTTAGGCTCAAAAAATTGATTTAGTCGACTAAATTAATCAAGCATGTAGACTAAATGGGTCGACTATTCTGACTAAATTAGTTGTTTTAGTCGACTATATTTGTTGTTTTAGTCAACTTAATTAGTCGTTTTAGTCGACCAAATTAGTTGACTAATCGCTAAAGTTTTTAGTCAACTAATTAACAACACTAGTACCTATAATTTAAATAAATATGTTTGATTTCTTCATAATAGACTTTTTAGAAAAAAGATATAGAATATTTAAATGTAAAATCTTAGATGACTTTTCAAAGATCAAAAAAACTAGTGACCAATATTAATAAATTAATATAAAATTTTACTTTGTATACCCTTTTTTGTATATTTAATAAACATATTTCACTGTAATAAGCACAAAATAGAATACAATAAAGACAAGAGGTATTTTTTATTTATATATAAATTTTTAAAATGTTTATTTGATAGCATCCTAATAATCATATCCATATGGGCTGTTTACTCATATATGCTGCAGGATGTCATGTTCATTATACTCAAAGATTTTTATTATTTTCTATTACAATTTACTAAATATATTATATTATGATTTTACTGCCATCTTATTATATTTTTTATTAATAAAAATTTTAATTAAACTAAATAACTATTAATTTTTTGATTAAACAGTTTATAAAGATCATAAACATTCCTGCCATATATCAGCAACCTAAAGTGTTCTAAAAAAAGATTATTTTTTAATTTTTTTAAATATTTTCCAAAAATTTTAATAGCCACAAAAATTTTTTATAACTAGTTAGTACTTGAGAGGAACCCAAAAATGGTAAAATTTATATTACTTGAAAATGTTTACTATTCAAATTTCAGTAATGTCATTCAATTTTTCTTAAAATATCTATCCAAAATTTAATTTGGGTTGTAAGTTTTGAAAATATAAGCCATTTATGGTTGAGCAGGGCCTGGAGAAATATTGAAATTTATATTTTTCTATTAAAGAATAAAAAATAACTTCATGATTATCAAATAACTTGGTCCTAATATTTTAAGATTTTTTTAAAACCTATTTTGTAAAATTTTGGCATATGATATTATTATCTTAAACATTTTGTATTAGCATAATCAATTGAAATTATAGTGTGCTCAATGACTAAGCTAAGTCAACTTAGTCTAAATTCTATTGAATGAGCCATATAGCTAGGCTTGATTAGTCATTGGGGAGTAGATAATATTAGCACGGCTATTTTCTTGCAACAATATACATAGGTTCTAGAATATAAAAATATCTAATTTCATCAAAACCAAAGTGGTTACAATTTTTTATATTCTTCTGATGGAGTAATAAATAATAGCAGCCAATTTAAAATAAATTTGAGCTAAATTGCATCTCAGTGAGCTATTTATTCAATTTGACAACAGTCTATCAGAATTTACAAAATTGTATTTTTTTTATAGAATAAGAGTAAGTAAAATTCTTATTCTCAAGTTTATCTTATCAAATTTTGTAATTCATTCCTTACAAATTTAAAATAATGTAAACTAAATGCTAATAAATTTTGTGTTTATCTTTTTCATCAATAAGAAGCAATATATATATCTAGACTTATATTTTATAATTTTATATAAAAAATATAAGATGTAATTTAAAATAGGATAATTTTTGCAATTTCATGATCCATATTGTTGTCACACTAGATAAATTGTAAATTTATTATTAAATTTAAGGCATAAAATATCAGAAAGGAAAAGAATCATGTTATATTAATGGTAAGAAAATTTTATTGTAGAATATACAAAATTTTCATTGAATAACCATAATATAATTAAGGAATGAATCAACTTTATCATCACTTAAGTAAATGATATACCTTTTCTAGGTTGTACTCCTTGGGATCTTCCTGTCATGGGAAATCTTTTAACAGGTGTTCTAAGTTTTCTAGCTTCTCTAGATCTGTTCCTAACCACTTTCGAGTGAATGGCACAAGAAACACAATAATTTAATTTCGCATATAGTTTGGGCAAAATATATGCTAAGGAATATAAGTACAAAAAATTAAATATAAATATATACGTGAATATACACTTGCAGCTTGAATATCTCTAACTGCCGCTGCTTCGACAATATTTCGAATTATAAATTTTTTAATAGCTTTATCTTTGGGTACACATCGAGCACAGTTGGTACACCTAACAGATGTTACATGCCCTCTTCCTTTTTTGCTTCTTCCATGATTACGCCGTTTAACAGTCTGTTAAAAATTAAACATTATAAAATATAAAAAGCTATCATACCATTTTTTAAAGGAAATGTTGTTTATTTCCACGAGAAAAATTAATAAAAACGTAGTTATATATTTTAAATTTTTAATTAAAAATGATTAAGAAAATAAAATAAAAGGGTTAATTATTTTAAATATATTTACTCAAATCTCCAAGTATCTAATTCTAAAGATGTTCTATATTGGAATTAATCTCTTTTACAACATAATATATCTATAATAAATATATAAAAATTATTAAGTTCCCTGTAAATATTGAAGTATTATTTTATGTATGCTTAAAACATTCGTAAAAATGCTTATCACGCTAAAATATAACTAAACATTTTCAATGGATATTAAGGGTTAAATCATTATAATTCAATACCTTCTAGTAATGTTAAAATTAGTGGAGAATAAATTTAGATCAATGAAAAATAGTTTTTATCCAAATCTCAAAGTATCTAGTTCTAAAGTTTTCTAAAGGAATTAATCTCTTTTAGGACATAATATATTTATTAAAAAATATTAAGTTTCTTGTAAATATTTAAGTATCAATTTATATAAATACCTATCACGCTATAATTTAACTAAACACTTACAAGGCATATTAAGGATTAAATAATTATAACTCAATATGGGAGAATAAATTTAGATTATTGAAAAATTATTTTTATCCAAATTAATTAATCTCTCTTTCCTACGATAAAATATTTTTATAATAAGTGTATAAAACATATTAAGTTTCCAGCATTGTATTATTTTATATATACGTGAAACATAGTTAAAAATGCTTATATCACTCTAAAAAATATAATTAAACTATTTCAATTTAAATTATGGGTTAAATAAATATGATTCAATACCTTCTATTAATGTTAAACTAATAGGAGAATTTTAAATATATTTTCTCAAATCTCTAAGTATCTTCATCTAATATAAGAATTAATCTCTTTTACGCCATAATATATTTATAATTAATATATAAAAAATATTAAGTACCCTGTAATAATTAAAATATTATTTTATATATGCTTAACATTCGTAAAATGCTTATCACGCTAAAATATAACTAAACACTTTCAAGGGATATAACTCAATATCTTCTAGTAATGTTAAAATAATAGGAGAATAAATTTAGTATATTGAAAAATTATTTTTATCCAAATCTCAAAGTGAATAGTTCTAAAAATGTTTTTTAAGTTTCTAGTAAATATTGAAATAAAATATTCAGTCCTCTTTCATAATTTTGCATCAATGAAATCTATACAATTCCTATATATCAAAATTTAATTGTAGATTAATAATACAAGAAATTTAAGTAAATACTTTTTCCTTTAATATTTCCTTTACTTTTAGATTACCAATCATCCTCAATTATTATACATCAATTAATAACCAACAAGTTCTTTTATATTAATCCTAACATAACACTCTACATTATCAATTCTATCATTCTTACCAATCTTTACAATTTACCCTTATTTTACCAAAAACTGTTGACTATTATAAAATTGTCATCCAAACATTTTATTTAAATATACAAAACACAATCAATATTCACACTTTAAAAGGATAATACATTTAATCTCTTATCTAATTATACTATTGATTCAAATTCTTTAAAGCAATCTAATATTGCTATAAAAGCAGAAAGGGAAACTGAATATTTCACAAAAAAATAAAATAATTGCCAACAGAAAATAATTCTCTTCCAAACATTTATTCAGAAAATGATATTGAAAATGTGATTTCTATAAGACCACTTGCACATCATTATGCTATGATACAAAACTTTGACAACCCAAAAATATGACTGATAGTTAATTACATTGTATTAGAAGAATATAGACTCTACAGCTTACTATTGCAAAAACCCCTTCATGAACTAAATATTTCAAGCTAGACTGCAAACTAATATGAATTCAAATAAATACAAAAATTAAATGATATTGAAAGTGGGATTTCTATATGATCACTTGCACATAATTATACTATGAATAAATCATCTTCCATAATCAAACCTGAAATATTGATTAAATCTTATAAAAATTGCCAAACATTTATTCAGTTAATAATATTTCACCAAATATTTATCCAGAAAATGATATTGAAAGTGGGATTTCTATATGATCACTTGTACATAATTATACTATGAGTAAATCATCTTCCATGATCAAACCTCAAATATTGAATAAATCTTATCAAAAATCAAAAAAATAACTCATTAAACTTCCTTAATATACCAACCCACAAGAAACCCATATTTGATGATAAAAATAATATCCAACATTTTCACTCTTAAACTGATAAAAAAATTTTAATTCATGAACTTACCAGACCTCAGCACAGCTTCTACCAAATCTAACTGCCCTTTATGTAATAAACTCGTTAAAGTAACCAAATTGGGGCTATTGCCATCTCATCGAAACCAGAAGATAAAATGTCCTCAATCTGGGCTTCCCATCTTATCACCAGCTATCCTTCGAACCCTAAATGCCTTTTCTGCCCTTGCCCTCGCACAAGCTATAGTTACCATTCCCACGTTGACTGATGTGCCTACTAGCCCAATAGTCCCCACCTCAACCGCCGAAAATGCTCTCACTTTCAATCCAACCGACTCCACAGATGTAGAAATATTTTTAGTCACACCAAAACCATTTGTGATTTCACGAATACCTAAGGGAGCAAGACTTCAAGTTGCCAAACACCTCTCAAAGAACTTGACTTCCTTGATAAATAATTATTCTTCCATAAAACACTGGCTAGACACTCTGTCATTTGCCTTTACTACCTTGCAAGTTCCTGATCCTGCCAGCAAAAAATCTCCGACACAGCAAATCATGGATGCTACTATCTACCCCTTACCCATCAATCACTTTTCCACATCTTTTAAAGGTGATGACACTGATAAAAATAAAAATCACAAAAATGACCTACTCACCAAGGCCAAGCTTATATCTAAAAAGCTGGATAACCTGAATGTTAAATCCGCCATACGACTGGCAACATCTGACAATAAGCAAGTTCCCTACGATCAAACAACTTATCAAGCTCTTCTCCTAAAACACCACCCACACGATCTTAAGGACGAAATACCGTCTTACCCCGAAGCTCCTCTAATTGGAACCACTTTTACCTCAAGCGAGGTTAAAAAGGCTATTCTCTCCTTCAAACGCGATTTTTCACCGGGGGCTGATGGGTTTCACCCAATATTCCGACAGGATCTAACCGCACCTTACATCACACAACAATGCGACGTTTTGGAAAAAATTACTCAACTCATCAACCGTATGCTTGCTGGAGGCTTACCACCCGCCATTATTCCACTCCTTTATGGAGCTAAACTCATCGCCCTCCATAAACCTAATAAAGATATTCGCCCTATCGCTATTGGGACCACTTGGCGCCGATTAACCGCAAAGCTAGTAGGGAGCAGAATATTGTTCACAGTATCCAATCACCTGTGCCCTAATCAATTAGGAGTCAACGTAAAAGGGGGATGTGAGGTATCCCTACACATGACCAGAATGTATCTACAAACAGACCCCAGTGACGATATCCTAATTAAGATATTTCAAACGCTTTTAACTCTCTAAAACGTACAGTGTTTCTTAATCCCATCCTTACCCTTTACCCAGAATACTCGCAATTCATCTTCGATTGTTATGCTAGTCCATCGCATCTTCAATTTGGAGACCGATTGATTCCTTCTAGTAGTGGAATACAACAAGGTGACCCTCTAGGCTCCTTTTTATTCTGTCTGGGCATTAATAGCCTAATACAAGGCATAAATGACCAATGTAAACTAAACCTCCATAACTGGTATATCGACGATGGTATACTAGGCGGCTCACCCAGCGAAGTTATGAAGGCGGTCGAAATAATAAAATCCAGCGAGAGCAGTTTGGGACTGCGAATCAATCAAGACAAGAGCGAATATTGTCCTCTTGGAATCATCGACCTTAACTATGATCCTATGTTCAATCATACACCATTGAACTTCTTAACACATCTCGGATCTCCAGTGGGTAAAGACGAGTCCTTTGTCAAGTTCTTCGCCGACACTCTACTAGAGATAGCCCTTATGGCGGTACACTATCTCGCCTCCCAGCCCACCAAGCGTTCTTTCTATTAAAGAACTATCTCCTAATCCCAAAAATTCTATATACACTCCGATCGTCACGCTTACTTTTTCTAAACTAAAAAATACATAATAATATTATTAAAAAAATATCGCAATTTTTAATATATATTATATAATAATAATTCTATTTCTTTTTCACGATATAAACAAAAAAAATAAACACACATTTTTTAATAATAATAAAAAATAATAAACAATTACTTAACATGTACCCTCTTTTCAAGGTAATACATGCCACATTTTCCCATAACTATAATTTAAGAATTTTTCTTTTTTCTTTAGATTCTTCTTCTTGCATCATTTCTTAAACTCTTCGTCAATAATATCCGTTATAGCATTATCGTTGATCCAAAACTTCGCATCATTGAAGATCTCTTGATATCGTTGAGCGAAACTTCATATCGTTGACGTTCTCTTGATATAGACGTTGAGCGAAACTTTATATCATTGATGTTCTATTATATCGAATTTGCCTCTTTTTTTTGTTTTACGTTATTGTTGGTTGTCATCTTGCTACTGTATTACTATTCTTGGTCAAAGGGCAATTTTATTTTTTTACAAGATTGTTTAGTTGATTTGTTGTTGTCTATTAAAGATTATCCTGCCTCTTTATTATCAATATATTTTGCAGTTAAACAACATCTTATTGGATAATTTCGATGGAATTTTTAGTATAATGTGTTAAAATATTTATGTACACAATTTTTATTTTTATTAAATTATCACAAATTATCTTCAACCTTTTTTTTAATTTCTCTCTTACCGAAGAATTTATTTAATCCAACATTTTTAAGAAAAAAAACTTTAATAAAATATTCTCCTAAATAAATTTTAATAAAAATACTTTAAAAAAAAATCTTTAACAACATATTTCCTTAATTCACACAATACCCCCTTTTTTACTTAGGAACCATTACACAAAACAACAACATTATTATCTTC